TTGACTGACTGACTGACTGACTGACTGGCTGACTGACTGACTGACTGACTGACTGACTGACTGACTGACTGACTGACTGACTGACTGACTGACTGACTGACTGACTGACTGACTGACTGACTGACTGACTGACTGACTGACTGACTGACTGACTGACTGACTGACTGACTGACTGACTGACTGACTGACTGACTGACTGAATGACCGACCGACCGACCGACTGACTGAATACAAAATTTTAAATATTTAGCAAGTTAACAAAGACTGACCGACTGGCTGACTGAATACAAAATTTTAAATATTTAACAGGTTAACAAAGTTGAAACCAGGAACTAGTGAGATTTGTTCCATCAGATTGAAATATGATGATGTTGATGCATTCACAAATAAATCTAGGAGATAATATTCATTTGAGCATCTATTTTATTTCAAAACATCGTGTGTACAGTGAAATGGTTGCAATTGTCAGAATCATGAGGAAACTTGAAAAAGATCGAATTGAATCATCATGTTTGTTTGCAAAAAAGCGAAAAAATGCTCTAATAGTGATGAGGAACTATATAAAATTGAGAACAAGTTCAAATTTGCTGGAACTGTTCATCAGTAATGTAAGTATCTGTAGAATTTTTTTTTTCCCATTTATTTATTTCGTTCAGTGTTACACATTTGGTTTGCTTCTATTAAGTTTTTTAAATTAGTTTTTTAAATTTTAACTCAATTTCATATTTCAAGATTCCCTCATCCATCAAACTGTCAAAACTGCGATAAGACGGTATAAACTGGAAAATGAGAGGAAGAGACACTGTGATTTAGCTGACGATACCAAACCAAGTATGAAAAGAAAGATATCTCTTCATAAAGGATATCAAATTATTGGAAAAGACAGCCGAAACATTTGGTTCGTTGGCCAATTCGGAAAGTAATTCAGAAAATGAGAACAAAAAAATATTTCCTCTTCAATGTGGAAAAAATTGATCAGCCTCAGCGAAAGAATTCAAGAAATGGTCCAAAAAGAGACGCTGATTAAAAACAGAAGGAGAACAATTTCGTTTATGACGTCTTTTACTTAAACGACTACACATTTGATTTCTCGTTGTTTCACAATATTCAACACGTTGAAGCATGCAAACAATGTGATGATGTTAAATATCTGACAGAGGAGCAGAGGAAAAAGAAGAAGAGGAGGACGATGATGAAGATTGTGAAAACAACTGGCGGAACGACTACCCCGATGAATCTTCCTGGTTTTACAATGCGGATCCTAATTTCAGCTGTTATGACTATGGTCGAGATTATGGATGAAACAGATTCAACCATTTTACTTGATATTTTGTCATTGTCTTGGGCCGAAATAATTTTTCGTTTTATATATAACTGGTCAGCATTAATAAACTTTATAAATGCAGTTAATACAATATTTTAACTTGAATTAAATGTGGTTCAAATATTAAATTAATTTATTTTGCCACTTCTAATTGCATTGATTTAAAATAACGCTTAAATCAAAGTCAAAATCAAACGGCAACACGTCTTTAATTTTGGCAAAATTGAAAATTGACAAAATATCCTTGTCTAAAAAGTAAAATAATCACAAACAAATTTGGCAACTTTTATTAAAAATTAATTTTTTACTAAGAAGTTAGGGATCCATGAATATTTTAAGTCTATGAAACTTAATGTCTGAAATTTTTACTAAAGAACAGTCATAGCATATAAAATAGAAACTGACATTGAAATTTTATAACAATTTAGAGTTAGCTTGTGTTGAGTTGAATAGAAAATATTTTAACTAATATTTAATTAAAAACTCAAATGGCGGCTTTTTTCTGGCCATTTATTTTGGAACAACTAACTTCACAACTAACTATTTTCCAATCTGTTTGTGAAATACACTGAGGAGCGTGGTTGAACATCGCTGAAACAGAGCTTAAGAAACCGATTGATTGATCGATTGATTGATTGATTGATTGATTGATTGATTGGTTGGTTGGTTGGTTGGTTAGTAGGTAGGTTGGTTTGTTGGTAGGTTGGTTGATTGATTGATTGATTGATTACAAAATTTTTTGGTTAATAAAAATAAAGTTATTTCAATTCTTTTTAAATTGTCCGATTTATAATCCGACAACAAAAGCAAAATTACATTAAATCGAATCATTAAGTAAAGCTTTTAATTGTGCGCTCGTCAAGTTTCTCTTGTTTCTTTTTTTCTCATTTGTCTCCATATCTTGTTTTCTTGTACTGGCTACCTACAAAAGATAGAATAATTTTTGAAATTTGCACATTGTATAAGTCTCAATCTAAATAATACCTTACCAACCAACAGCTACTTCAACAACCTTGGTTGCGTGTCCAATTTCTCACTAACAAAAACGCCAACTCTACCAACTAATTTCCTACAATGAAATTAACCAACTCTATCAACTAATTTTCTACAATAAAAATAACTAACTCTACCAACCAATTTTCTAAATAAAATAAACTTATGCCTCCTTTTCAATGGTAGCCCACCGACGCTGTGTATCCGACAGTTTCTTGCTAGCGAAGCCAATGGGGCTTTCCTTTCCAAGACTATCAATTTGCACCAAGCAGCATGCCACCGTGTGGTCACTAGCGTCAGTGATTAAACCAAACGGTTGGGTGTAATCAATGGTATGTAAACCTCCAACATTCTTCAGCTGATGAATTACCGTATCCAAACTACGTTGATGCTCTTGTGTCCACGTTACATTCCCATTACCTCTCCCTTTCGTCAATTCCGTTATGTTATCCAAAGTACTGGCTAGATGCGGGATGAAATTGTGGAAGTAATTTAGAAATCCTATCTATTTTCGTACTTCCTTCTTCGTGGTTGGGGGTCGGATTTGATGTAATTTTTGCAACTTTAGTGGATCCATATCAATGTTACCCGATCCCACCAAGTGTCCCAAAAATGGTATCCTGGCCTTGTGCAAAACGACATTTTTCTATATCAAACGTCAGGCCAGACTTCCTCCCAATTATTGGAGTATACGGCTATGTCGTCTATGTAGGCCTCTGTGAATCCTTGCACATGTCTGGTTAGTTCCTTCATGGCTCTTGTAAATGTGATACTGGCCGACTTCAAACCGAAGGGCATACGGGTAAACTCAAATAATCCAAAATCGTAAACAAAGGCGGTCAGCCATCTTGATTCCTCCTCCATGGGTATCTGCCAATAACCACTTTTAGCATCTAAGCTACTTATATATCGGGCTCGACTCACTTTCTGAAGCACATCTTGAACATCAGGTGTAGGAAAACCATCTCCCTCAGAATGTCTATTCACATATCGGTAGTTAACGGCCAACCGGACAGTGCCATTTTTCTTCATGATGCAAACAATGGGACTGGCCATTGCACTGTTTGACGGAATAATGATACCCTGCTCCAACATCATCTTTAATTGTTTCTCAACTTCCGGTTTAAGTAATTCTGGTATTTTGTATGCACGCAACCGTTGCGGTCAAAACTTTTCATTCACACTGATACTATGCTGTACGGCTGAATATAATCCCACCCGAGGTTGGAATATCTTTGCATGGATTTTCACTATCTCCATCACTTGTTTCTTTTATACATCTGATAAATGAGTTATGCTCTCCATCTGTCTTTGTACCATGTTCATCTCCTGTGTGCTCTCCGGCTCATATGAATGTAGATGACCAAAGTCCTCTTCATCGTTCCTTAGAATGACACAATTATTCAAAGCAACTTCCTCGATCCGTTGGTTATACCTCCGTATATGATTCACATGGATATGGCGTTTTTGTCTTTCTAATTCAACTATGTATGAATGTGGGGATTTTACTCTCACAATGGTATCAGGCCCTTGCCATTTGTTACACCATTTGTTCCTCCAAATTGAGAAAACTAGAACTATGACCCCATGTCCCCCAACTGAAATCTTCGACTTGTACTACGTGAGTTATAGTGATGAGCGTACCGTTGCTGTTCCTTGTCAGCATGATCCTCCGCATAACCATACGCGACCTCCAAGTTGTGTCGTAACTCTTTCAGGTAAACATCAGGTTGTTTTTTTAGGTTTAGTGGCAAGCAGCGTTCTCCCACCCATGATTCTTTTAAAACCATTAAAGGACCCCTAGGCAACGTTCCATACAACATGGTGAACGGGCTAACATGAGTGGTCGCTGAAAGTTTCTCTCGAAGAGCCCACAAAACAAATGGTAACATACGATGCCAACTCCGAGGATGATTTTGCGCCAACTTCTGGATCATACCCTTCAACGACTGGTTACATCGTTCCACCACTCCTGCCGCTTCCGGATGTCCCGGTGTATTGAATCGAGGACTACATTCCAAATTTTGAAGCAATGCCTGCGTTATACCACTCGTGAAGTTAGTACCCCGATCTGAACTGATGACCCTTGGTATAGAGTAAGTTATAAATATCTGCAACAGCATCTCACATGTCGTTTTGGCAATAATGTGTCTCATCGGGTATGCCATGGGCCATCTAGTGAAAAGATCCACCACAACTAAGGAGTAATTCTATCTTGGTTTGGGTCCGCTTTCCGTTGATATCATCGGCCCAATACAATCCATTACCAGATGGGAAATCGGTTCCTCCTCTTTCTTGGAAATGGGAGTTATGGGAGTTCTTTCTGTTATCCTGACCGAGTTTCTCAGTTGGCATATTTGACAAGAGTGACAATATCTTCGTATCTTCTCACACATTTCCGAAAACCAAAAGCTAAGGGCCATCCTTTGTCTTGTAGACTTAGCAGCCATGTGTCCAGCAAACGATTTATCATGTCCCATTTCCATCACTATCTGAAACCTGGTTGCTGGCAAACACAACTGTTTCCTTTTATAACCTAATAAAGTTTCTTGGTGGTATAAAATGCCATCTTCGATAAAAAATTTTTTTTTTTCATCTTCGCCCACTCCCAACATTTTTTGAGCGTCTGACATTTACGTTGTTCCTGAAGGAATTTTTCCTTTCCCAGCGTACACCTTCTACACTCTCTTCATCATCTTCATCTCTAACATTACATTTATTATTCTTCATCGTTGCATATTCCTGACCACCATCATTATCATGAACATCCGCCTCTTCGTCATCGACTAATCGACCACCATCGCTACCAACCCTTGCTTCCCCTGACCGAACCACATCTCCAACACCATCTACCTTATCTGCTTCATTCGACTGACCAACGTTACCAGCATCATCTGCCTGATCAACATTACCAACATTACGTTCCATCTTCTCATCCTCCTCACTATCAACGTCGTGATCCTCATTACCATCAACACTACTGGCATCCAAATTACAATTATTAATTCCACTGACTTCATCATCTTTCTCCTCATCAACCTCATGATCATCAACTATATCTACAATACCACTGCCATCTATTTTACAATTATTATTTTCATTAACTAGTTCATTCCCAACCTTATCTAAAATACTGCTGCCATCTATTTTACCATTATTAATATCGTAGTTATTGTAAGCTACTTCCAATCTAACATTGATCTTAGTATTATCACCATTATTGTTGTGAGTACCTTTACTGCCAATATTGTTGTCGCTGCTATTGCTGTCGCTGTCATTGTGGGAAGTACTTTCACTACTACTAGTGTTAGATATCAATTTACCAGTAGTGTTGCTGTTGCTGCTGTTGTGAGCTACTTCATATCGTCCAACATTACTTTTATTGTTATTACTATTATTGTTGTGAACTGTATGGGTACCAGCTTTGTTAACCTCATGTGATCTAACAATGCTTTCATCATTACATTTATCATCATTTTCACTGACACGACGTTTGGCTGCATCAACACCATCACGCCTATCAGATCGTCCACACCTCTCCTGACATGGTATCTGGAGGCTATCAGTGTTGTAGAACGTCAAGGTGCTCTCATTCCCCAACTTGATTGGTGTGATATTCCTGGTCATCTCGAGTTTCACGGCAGGTACCTCATACTGTTCTGCCATCTTCAACAATTCCACCACCTTGGGTGTAATAATTAACTGTTTGCTAGCATTAGGTACCACTGCACACCATACTCGTACAGCGGGGGCAATACTTTCGCCTTCATCAGGGTTATAGGCCATCATTACCCATGCACCATCTACTTCTGTCGTTGGTCTATTCCATCCCTTGATCCTCAAACGTTCCCCTCTGGGTATGTTTAACTTGTGACATAAGTCCTGAGAGATTCCACATACTTCTGCTCCACTATCTACCAATGCTGCACAGGTCGGACCAGCTTGAATTTTAACCTGAACAAATGGTCTTTTGAAGTATTTTTCAGCCTGTATGGTCCCAGGAGTAATACCTGGTTTCTTCAACTCCTTTGTGGCCTGAGACATAGCAGTGACCTGGCATTTCATGAGCTTCTTGATGGGGTTATGATTTGTTTTCTGGGTACAAAATTTAGCAAGATGTCCCCGACTACCACAGTGATAACAACCTACCTTTGATATTGATCCTTTTTACAACCTCTTTTTTGAGCCATTTGGGATCTGTTCCGGGACGTACAGCCTTTTGGATAGGTTTATATCCTGAGGCTACATTACTAGACAGTCTCATGTTCATGTTGGCCTCATATATCTCCACAACATTGGCCAGACGTTCGTGGGTTAACCATTCCTCACCTTCCTGAGCTAATACATGTTCCAACAAGTTTTTTGGCAACAATTCCTTCATTCGGTCCACGACTAGCAATGAAAGTGCTTGATCCAACGTTTCAACCTTCCGACTTTGTAAATAGAATCGGAGATTTCGATGTAGTCTCGATGCAAATGCAGGATATGTCTCATCATGTGCCTTCCGAGCCAAAAAGAATTCATCGCGGAGTTTTATCGGACAAAAACGACAATAACGTATGATCTGTTGTTTGATTACTTCATAATTTAGATAATCATCAGTTTTAATCTCATTTAGTACTGTCTTCATCTTTGTTTCCAAATTAACCAGTAACAGATCTGCTCGCAATTCCTCACTAACTCGATGGCTGTCAAATATTCCTTCGATCCTCTGAAAATATGCTGCAATTTCACGGGGATTCATAGGACACATTCCTAACATTGGACTGATTCTACGGATTATACTAGCAGTATGGTCTCCTTGCTGAGCATTATTATTCTGACTCCTCAACTGTATGTCAGCTTCTCTACGTTCCCTCATATCTTCCTCCATCAACCTTAATTTCAATCTTACTTCTTCAGCTGCTGCTTCCTCTGTTCGTCTTTCAGCTCTTTCCGCTGCTTGTTCTCTGTGTCGTTCCTCCTTTTCTGCTGCTTCCATCATAATCCGAATTTGAGTTGCCTGCACGGGATCCAACGTTATCTCCTCATCACACTCTTTCATGCATTTGTCTTTCGACCGTAAATTGTGGGCCATCTTTACCAATTTTACCACGTTGTGTCCGTTGTGTATCTTCGTCAATAAAAATTACTCACCGGCAATTGACAAACGCCAACTCTTACCACTGGCGCTTTCTGTCCTTCCTGTTGACAGAATCCACTGCCACTTTCTGTCCTTCTTCCTCTTGACAAAATCCCATTTCTGACACCAAATGTAGCGGGTTCTTAGCGGCAAGGTTGAGACGTAGACACAAATCAAAAAATTTTATTCTGTAAACTGAAAACTATACCAAAATAAATATACAATGTCAATAAAGAAAACCAAAATAAAAGTTAAAGTTCGAGGTTAGTATGCAGACTTGTTCCTGCCAGTGCTGTGATCACGTACGAGCGGATACTGTTTCAACTTCTTCACTTGACAACAATGTAGAATCCTTCGAACACTGGTGTTATGTGGGGTTGACTCCTTCGGTTCCAGCCGTCTTCTGTACAAATATTGCACCACCTGTGCTTTACCCAACCACAAATGTTGTTGTTACGTTGAAAGGCAACTACTTCGTTCGCCACCCTCCAACGCAACAGATAACTACTTCGTTCGCTACCTTATGTTTGTCGTCGTTGAGCTCGTAACAACCCCGTACCGTATTTCCAGCTCTCCCATCTAACCACTGACTAATTACCACCCACGTACAAACAAATGAAACTTTTCCCCAATAATACCTTACCAACCAACAGCTACTTCACCAACCACGGTTGCGTGTCCAATTTCTCACCAACAAAAACGCCAACTCTACCAACTAATTTCCTACAATGAAATTAACCAACTTTACCAACTAATTTTCTACAATAAAAATAACTAACTTTACCAACCAATTTTCTACAATAAAATAAACTTTTTTTCTGTCTGACGATACCAGCCTTTATTTACCCGACGCGCCGTCCTACCCCGCAGCAATAATATAATTAAATGATGCGGCGCTCAACATCCACCCTTGAACTGTGACAGCAATGTTGAAGAGAGCTGGAAAGTATGGATACAGAGATTTGAGCTATTTCTTCTTGCTTCTCGATCGGACCAGCTTTTAGAAAAGGTACAAGTTGCGATGTTTGAGTTGGATTGGTGATAAGGGACTTCACATTTTCAACACATTCACTTTTGACCCGCCAGAGGACAAAGATAGAATAATTGCAGTAAAAGCGAAATTTGAAGAGTATTGCTCACCACGTAAAAACGTTGTTTTTAAAAGGTACCAGTTTTGTAAAACCTCACAAGCCACAAATGAGCCAGTAGATTCATTTGTAACCACGCTACGTCTCCGAGCCAAATCATGTGAATTTGGTGAACAGGAGGAGTCATTGATTTGTGACAGAGTAGTTTTGGGTTGTGCAGATGCACGTCTTCAGGAAAGATTATTGAGAGAACCGGAATTGTCTCTCACAAAGGCACTTCAGTTATGCAGAGCTGCTGAGGTTACTCGAGAACAATTAAAAACCATAAAAGGTGACGTGTTACCCGCAACAATAAACTCTGTGAGGTCTGGCAAAAATAAAGACTAAAATAATGACAAAATGAACAAACATGGCTGTGGAAGATGCGGCACAATTCATCCTATGAAACAATGCCCAGCATTTGGAAAACAATGTTACAGATGTTTAAAACAAAACCATTTTGGTAAGATGTGTAAAGCCCTCAACTTGTCAAACAAAAGAAGAAATAAAAGTTTTAAGAAATCTACAGACAACCATTCACGTTCAGCATTGCCATTATCTAGATCATCAATTCATGCAGTTGAGGAAGATATAAACAGCTTCGTCATTGGTGAATTAGCCATACATAGTTGCACTGCAAAACAAGTTAATTGTATGTGGAAAGAGCTATATCTAAATGGCATGAAAGTCAGATGCAAATTAGACGCAGGTGCTGAAGTCAACGTCATGTCAAAAACAGTTTTTTAACAACTTTCTAAAAGACCAAAGCTAACAAAGACCAACACAGTTTTTAAACCTTATGGCAGTGGAAAACTTCAGCCTCTAGGAAACAATAATTAAGGGTAAGAAAACGTTTTTAGAATTTTATATCATTAATAGCAATGCCCCAACACTGATAGGACTGCCATCATTCAGCAAACTAAATTTTTTACAATTTCCAAAAGTCGTAGATGCAAGAGATAATCTAGTTTACAGATATCAACAACAACAAAAATTATTATCGTAAATCGAAACCTCTTCCAAGTTTGAACGAAGGAAATGTAGAACGTATGAACCACAATGAAACATGTTCGTTTTAAACATTAAGCTCCAAATACCATTGTTGACACAGAGGATGGTTCAACTTTAAGACGGAACCGAAGAGATCTCATCTACACCAAAGAAGGACATCAACCTATATGCGCACCACCAGTGGATGATAGCATCATTTTCCACCAATTAGAGGCAACACAACCACAAAGGTTGGAATTTCCAATTCACCCTCAGTGCAACAGGTGACACCACATAGTCTTCGCAAGAATCCATCCTGAGGACACGGAGTAGTCGTTCATCAAAACTCCCTATTAGATTCAAGGACTCTGTTCTTAATTAAATATTTGCATTAAATAAAAACAATAAAATTGAACTTTTAAAGGGGAGATGTGACATTTGTTTCTTTATATATTTAGCATCTTTTGGACAATGATCAAATAAACAGAGATATCGTAACACTCACTCGTGTTGAATTGAATTTATATTAAATAAAACATATAAAGCATCACAACGATCGTCTTTTGTTCTCAATTCTTAACTTGTATTGAACACTCTTTTGCTAAATGTGCATTTGCTTTTTCTGGCTCTTTTCTCTGGAACTCTTTACCTCCTTCTCTGACTACTTTTCCAACACTTACGAAGTTCATGGTGGATCTCAAGACCAAATTCATTGAGGAGCGCTGTTGAACATCGCGAAAATAGTGCTTTATAAACTAATTGACTGATTGATTGGTAGGTGTGTACTTGTACATCTAACCTTTCGGAAATTATAAATTTTGATGTAGATACCGCTTGGTTAAAATTTAGCAACACCAATTTGATTAATTATAAGACAGAAGATAACTCGTAATTTACCGGAGTAAATATTGATTTATCAATTATTCGAGCAATGCACCTTTACTATAAAACGGATTCTGCGGGTTACATATGCTCTATAACAACTTTGCAGATATGTTTACAAAAATATGAGGAAGTGTTAAAATACATTTTAGAAACAAATGCTCTAAACAAAGATCTGTTATTAGTTGTTTTAATACATCAAAAACAGGCATCCATTGGCTTTTGGGTGTTATTTCTTTAAATGAAAAAAGATTCATTAAGACCTAAAGATATGAGAAACGGGTCTTTTATCCAGCTTGCTAATATTGTTACAATATTATTTGACATCATCAATATTTGACATCACAATTGTTACAATATTATTTGACATCATCAATATTTGACATCACAATTTTTTGTGATGTCAAAGCAAATAAATTGAAATAAATGGGCATTATGGCATTTTTCTAATTGTGTGAAACATATTAATTTGTATGATTGTGGTGTGTATGTTGTCAAATACGCAAAAGCTATTCTAAGAGAAGCTGCAAAGGTTGATTGTAATGACACTCGAAAATGGATTTTAAAAAATTATAAAAAAGCCATTGCATTTAAAAATAAAAAAACTATTTGACATGGATTTTAGTCTCTTATCTTACGCAAACATTTGCACTACCGTTCTCATTCCTATTTTGTCACAAAACAATTTGATGATAAAGGTATTAGAATATAGGGAAAAATGAAAATGATTTGACCATTTGTGGAGAGAATCAATGTTGAACAGACGTAAAACATAGTGAGAAACAGAGATTCTGCGTAGGTTGTAGGATGTGGTTTTATGTCATCTGCAGGAACGGCAAAAAAGTATATAATTTTTTCAAGTGCTTGGAATGCATGAAATAACAGGTGGAGATGTCAACGTAATTGAGACTGCCTCAAGCGGCTCCTTAGGAAGGTCACAAAATGTGATTGAGACTGCTTCAAGTAGCTTCTTAGGTAGATAACAAAAATATAATTGAGACTTCTTTAAGCGGTAAGTCACAAAAACTTAATTAAGACTGCTTCAAGCGGCTTGGCTTCTTAGGTAAATCACAAAAATATAATTGAGACATCTTTAAGCGGCTTCTTAGTTAGGTCACAAAAACGTAATTGAGACTGCTTCAAGCGGCTGCTTAAGTAAATCACCGCAAAACCCGAATCACACTTCACCGTGTGCAAGAGTGAACAACTTTGTAATCATGCAGAGTTGACCAACGTGAGCGGTCTAATTTTTGTATCTTTTAAAAATCTAGATATTTTAAAAAGAACTTCAAATTAAAAAACAATCATAAATAATATTATGTGGTTTTTTCGCAATGTTCCGCATTATGCATATATAAAATGAATTATTTTTATTTGATATTTGATTGAATACATATAAAAGCCATTTTTCACCTATATTATAAAAAATTGCTTCGATTAAATCAAGAACAATTGTGCTTTTGTGAAGTCAGCCAAATATTGTAAAGGCCTACGTTAATAAACATTTTTCAAGTTAGCCATTATATTTTATGACATTGTCGCGGTGAACCGCATTATTTAAATACAATTTTTGATCATATAGAAATCATGAATAATATATCGATTATATTATAGCAAATGGTTTTTGTTTAAATTTAGAAAAATTGTGTGTTTGTAAAAAGTCAGCCAAATTTTGCGTACGTTAATAAACATATTGTTATAAACGCAGAAATAATCGAATTGCGCTATATGTTAAATTTCTATTATCATTATCTCGATTATTTGTTCTTTTTGCTATATTAGCAACCTTTAGATTGTAAATTCTATTATAGAAGGAGTTGCGAATAGCGACGTAGTAGCGAGATTTGAAGCGAATTTGTAATTGTGATTTATGTAGTTTTTTTTGTTTTGTAATTTAGTGTTTCTATTACTGTTGGCATTCAAATAAACGTTCAACCAAGTTTGCATTTAAAACAGTTGTGTTCATCTATCAGAAACCTTGAACCTATGGAATAACGATAACTTGACGATTGTTGGAAGCTACAACACTGGTGTTGGAAATAGAGATCATTGAAGTTAAGACATTGTCGGATTGAAAATTTTAGCGACTAAAAGACTAACAAATAAAACACCACGAACTAACGAGGTGATTTGTGCGGGCTTTATAAGAAACTGCAATAACTATTATGATAGGTATTCCGGCTGCTGATGAGTTCCCGGTAGGGACGAAACACATGTCCAGCCTATCAAAACGAATACTATTCTTTTCTTCTCCCGCTTACTGCTCTTCTTCGTTCGGTGTTCTCAAACATCAAACGCAACCGCAACAAATTGGTGACCCCGACGTGATCAAAGAAAACAAGTATTCCAACGCATATCTTTCTTCGATACAGCAACACAGGATTGATTCCGGCAATGCAACCTCATCCATCACGTTCGCCAACACAAACGCGGCGATCTGGTGGGAAGTATTGTCGGATTGAAAATCATAGCAACTAAAAGACTAATTAATAAAATATCACGAATTAACGAGGTGATTTGTGCGGGCTTTATAAGAAACTGCGATAACTATTCTGATAGTTATTCCGGCTGCTGATGAGTCCCCGGTAGGGACGAAACACGTGTTCAGCCTATCCAAACGAACAGTATTCTTTTCTTTTCCCGCTTACTGCTCTTCTTGGTTCGGTGTTTTCAAACATCAAACGCAACCGCAACAACATCGAGCGTTAAAGTTTACATCAATATTTTAAGTCAGCCACTATATTTTGTGACATTGTTGCGATATATCGCGTTATTTAATACAATTTTCAACCAAACACTAATTGAGAATAATATTTCAATTCTTTTATAACAAGTTGTATTGATTTCATTAAGAAAATTGTGCTTTTGTGAAAAGTCAGCCAAATACTGCGTAAATTACTAAATATAATTCAAGACTTTTGTGACTTTGTTGCGATGTACCACAATATTTTAATACAATTTTTGATTAAATACATATTATGATATTATTAATAATATATCAATTATGTATTGTTTTTAAAGCGTTTATTTTCTTATAAGGCTAGTCATCCACTCGGTATTATACGATGTTGTCGCAATGTTTTGCATTATTTCAAATTAAATTTAGATTTAAAACATATTTTGATTAAATTTTTATTGATATTGCAATATTTTATTCATTATAATGTTTTTTTTTATCACCGCATTACGGTGTGTTCACATACATTAACTTCTGCATGCAAGTCAGCCAACCGTAAGTCAGCCAATTAGTCTTACCCTAATGTTAATTATGGTGGATCAATCGGTCAGTCGATTAGTCTCTGCGTTTGGTTTTGTAAAAGTTTTTAAAAAGTTTTTGCAAACTTTTCTCTGCGGTCTACGTATTTGTTACAAATAAATTATAAGGTAAAATAAATCAGATCAAATCAATAACAATTAACATCAATATTACAGAACATGAACACTGAACGACCAACGAATTAATAATTATAATTTATTAATTATTTTATATAAAAAATGGCTACCAGAGCTGCAACTTGTAAGATTTTTTTAATTTTATTAATTTATTATTTTTCCATTTTAATTTATAATACTGTGGTTTCGACTACCAAATTATTGTATCGGGATGTGACTGTTTGATGTTGGTTTGCCAGGTTTGGGCTTGAGCTTTTGCTTTGTGCTTTGTGGTGATGGAGTCTTTGTACAATTTTGTTATGTCTTTATATAACATAAGAAGTAAGAATGTAAGGGTTATCAAATTATAAAAAAATTCTTACTAAATATGACATATGTAATATAATTGTAAAGTGGAATGCTCTAAGGATCCAAACTTGGTCCACTTCTATTCCTCAACTTGTTTGTTAGTCAATTACTGATTTTAAAGATTGTTTGAGTTAAAAAGTCTATTACACTCTTCCTAGGCTCAGAGAATCAACAACTCGCACAAACGTTGTATATGAATACATGCTAAATGACACATCACACTAGAAGCATGTGATAGGCAGAAATCTTTTTGTCATAATTTGAATTAAACCCAGTCACTGCAAAACAGCGTCAAATTATCTTAACCACTATGCCATCACGCTGCTGTATCATGTGTGCAGAAATGCTATAAAAATAACTATAATAGTGTTATGTTGTTTGGACCAACAACATTCCTTTCCTTGTGTCACAAAATTTAATTATAAGTATAGAATTGAAATGTAATCATTTTTGTGTTTGGCAGAGCTGCATAATAAAGAACAAAAATTAACTTCAAGAGTTACACTATTTTTCTATAGAGTAATTATTCCTAAGATGTATCTATGGATTCATTTTTATTTGATAACTTCATAGATTGTCTTTCATGTGATGTCTCATGCTCGGAGCCGTATTTACCAATAGGCTAAAAAGGCTGGAGCCTAGGGCAGTAAATTCTGATGTTATAAAAATAAATAACATAAATTACCACAAATTAAATTCTTGTTTATGCGAGACCTACAAACTGATATGCGGTCATTTAGACTACTTTATTTTTGATATTATTTTACCCAGAGTACTCCAAGAACAAGAAAAAGGTTTAAAACATTTAATATATAATTCAGCTTTTAAAATAAACAAATAAAAATAACTTTATTTTATTAAACTATATTAAATATTGTTTGTTTTTTTAGAAACAAGGTAAGGCCCTAGTCATTGTTTCTAGCATTGGAAATTCATTGAGTTTGATCACCTGCTGTTGACATTCGGAAACTGGCGTCAAGTGTTGACATTGCTAAGTGCAGTTCTTTCATTCAGTCATTTACAGAGTTTGACAAACTTCTAACCACAGATTCAAACCTATTACTTAACACTTCTAGTCTGATTATAATTTTTGACAATAACACCAAAATAATTTATCAAAACACCAACACAATACACCTAAAAGTTGCAGAACCTATCCTAATAGACATCAATAAGCCTAAAATAAACGTCCAACAAAGAATGATTGCTTCATTACCAACTCGACGCCTTAATACTTGCTCAAATAACAATAGGGAACAAGGAAGTGACACCAATAAAAACATGAAAAATATGGCACTAATTACTTAACTACCTTTATTTTGTGTAAGAAACTATATAAACCAAAACTCTACTGCAATGTATGCTATTATGGATAGAAATGATTACAACGACAAACTGAATAGCATTTTTGGTGACACTAATAAATTCATTAAGATTATTAGTGATCCAACTGCTAAGCTTAAGACAATATTGAACGACGTCATTAAAAGAAATAATGAAAAAAACAGAAGAAAAAAGTACCCATATTCACAGCCTGGGCATGCTTACGGTACTGTCAAAACACATAAAGCCAACAACTCTACGACCAATAATCAGGAGTGTATTTTTCCAGCCTCAAAACATGAAAAATGGGACTGAAATTGGGTGTGGAGTTAGTGTCGGTTAGTGCCGTATTTATTTTTGTTAGTGCTGGTTCCCTGTATGGAATATAGTTGGGAGAGCTCGAGATATGCTAGCTCCCCAAATGCCGCTAGACTTGGAAACTCACAGTATCGTTAGTGCTGTTCTGCGCCGTATTAATTTTTGTTAGTGCTGGTTCCCCAAAAGGCTGGGGGGCTCAGGAAATGCTTTTTCAAAAGTTCCGCTAAAGACTCGAAATTTGCAGTAGACCAGTACTAAGAGAATAAATACTATTTTAACCGGCACTAACGAAGCACTAACTGCACACCTAATTTCAGTCCCATTTTTCAAGTTGGCGGGCTGGAGAAGTGCATCTATAATCAGCCAAAGCCTGCATTCGCATACTCCATTGCTGCAATAACATGCCCATGAGCATTTTTGCTCAATAAAATAGTTACACCATACACCCTTAATAGTTATAATCTAAACTCAAGTAGAGAATTCATAGACCTATTATCCACTGCAAAACCATCCAGTAACACCAAAACAGCATCTTTGGATGTGGAGTCACTTTTTACAAATGTTCCTGTAGATGACACAATAAATATAATAATAAATAGAATATATAATTCCAGTTATTCACCACTACTCATTCCAAGAGAGACACTGCTAAGAATGTGTAGTCGAAGCGCCTTTCATTGGTCGGGTAACACATAACATCAGCAAATTGGCTCTTTATTGGGAGTACTCTTCGCAGACTTCTATGTTAGTCGTATCGAAGAAACATTATTTAAAGAAGAACCAAAGTTAAAGCCTAATATATACTGCCGATACGCTGATATATTCGTTACATGCGATGAAGACGATCGAATAGAAAAACTTGTACAATGTCTAAATTTAGCAAAATTAAAGTTTATAATTGAAAAAACAACTGACAATAAACTACCATTCCTAGACATACTAATACAAAATACCCATCGTTAATTAAAAACTTCAGTGTACACCAAAGCGGCAAACAAAGGTTTATGTCTTTATGGAAATAGTAAATGTTGTCAAACAAATCTAAAGAGCACGATCTCTGCTTTTTAAAACCGAGTTTATACGAATTCGTCTGAAGTAGGAAGCAGGAGAACAGAACTAGGTAAAGTCACTAAATTACTCACTAAGCCAGAATCGATAATCTTATAGCCATCTAATATTTCGTTCAAATGTAATGTTGGTGAGTGTGGGCACCACATTTGTGAATATATTGGTATGACGACACCAAGAGAAACACAAAACTAAAATTACTAGGCAAATCTTGGACAAAGAATAGCAACATCATTACTGACCAGAAGAATATTATTGAAAGACAAGCAAAGAGAATGAGCAGAACAAAGATAATAAATGGACCAAGATATAATAAACGGACAGGACAAAGCAGAATAAAAGCACTTTGCATGCACAAAGAATTGCAAAACATTGAAATACTCTATATAAACCATGATGATGAGAAAAGTCAAAATATGACCTATATGCGCTTCGCCATGAACACCAACGATTTTTTAATTAATTGTAATAAATTGGATAATATAATCCATTATCGATTCTGGTTTACTAGTGCAGCCCGAAATATTTGTTAAAATTTAATATTGGTGAGTGTGGGCACCATAAGTCCGAATATATTGGTATAACGACGACCAAGTTATCGAGAAGACTCACAATGCACGTACAAACTGGCGCTATAAAGAATCACAAGCTGAATCAATACTCATAGAACAAAGACATCCGATAATAAATATCAAACAACCGGTAATTCTACCAATAAATTTAAAAACAGAGGAATCATCGATAATGTAAAACTATGATTGTAAAACTAAGTATTCATTTTAAACAAACAAGAACTCAACAAAGTAGGGTAGAGGAACAGTATACATATATATATATATATATATATATATATATATATATATATATATATATATATATATATTTGAGCATCTGGGCATAAACACAAGGTATTTATTTGAACACCAAAGATGGTATAGGTCTACCGAAAAAAGCATAAAATAAACAAAAATTTTGGTTTTGAACTAAAGAACCTTGAAAATAATTTACGATCAACCGTTAGAAAAATCAAAAAGTCAAATTGGAAGTTAACGCCGAACATGCTGTGATTTTTATCAATAATTGCATTTCTAACAGTCTTCGTCCCATATATATATATATATATATATATATATATATATATATATATATATATATATATATATATGTTCGATTAAAAATAATACCCCAATTCCCCAATTTGTAGTTATTTGCTTTTTAAATAAGACTTCAACAAGACGTATTTTATCAGACTCATATTTATTTAAATCCGTGATTTGGCTTACGGCCGTTTCGGCTAGTGCCATCGTCAGAGCCTAAGTTATTATTTTAATTTAAATTATTTATTTTAAATATTGAATTGAATTATATGAAATATTAAATCAGTCAAATCAATTGAAAGTTACTGATGAATGTGGCCTAAAATAAATGTCAGCATGTGTGATAACCTTTGTAAAATCAACATATTATAAACAATTAAACTAAAGTAATTAAATAGTAACGGATATAATAAAATTTTAAATTTAAAAGTGTGGTTGGTGACGTGTAACTACTGTTATGAGTAACTTAGGAAAGATTGTCAGATTGTTGATATATTAATTAAAATTATGGAAAGTTAAACTTGTTTGTATGTTGTTGAATTATTGGAAATAATTAAATTGAATTGTTGATATAATATAATAATAATAAAAAAATAAATGAATAAAAAATATAAAAATGTATAAAAAATAAAATATAAAATAAAATAAATTAAATAAAATAATAAAAATAAAATGAAATAATTATGTTCATAAAATTTTAAGCTTCGAATAATGATGTTAATGAACTAATTTTTTAAGACCGGCGACGTGAAGATACAAACGGGTGATTAACAGCGGTTGGTTCCGGTGTGGGTTTGCTGTATTCATATTTGTGGTTGACAGAAACTTGTTTACTGTTGACGACGTTAGGTGAATGAGATAGAACAGTGTCGCGGTATTGAGTGAAGAGTTGGAGGACGTGGGCGAAGTTGTCGGACTGCGTATTGATCCTTGGTTTATTTGTGAGGATAAGAATAGCTTCTTTTGTTTTTAATTTTGACGGTTGGAGCCTATATACTCCATATGTATACTGGTGTTGTTGTTATACTGTGTAGATTTTTGAAGTGATCCTCGATTGTGTAGATTTTTGAAGTGATCCTTTATTTTATCCGTAACTATTTAATTACTTTATTTTAATTGTTTATAATATGTTGATTTTACAAAGGTTATCACACATGCTGACATATGGGTGATGGAGCTGTATTAACGAGTTTATATTAAGTCTTGACAACTGGAAGCATCTGAGTTTTACCCCGGTTCAACCTCAAAGAATTGCTCAACATCCAACGTTCAATCTCCATCAAACAACCAACAAGTTTATCAATCTCAGGCTGAAATGTCTGTGGATGACCTGTAGCAACTATCTGTATGTCATCTGCATACGCATGACCAACAAGTCCATGCGACATTATTATTTTAATTATATCCGATGTATAGAGTAAAAACAAAACTGGTCCTAGCACTGATCCCTGAGGAACACCGTTGTTAACCCCTTGACAGCTGATAAAACTTTTCTAAACAAAACCTGCTGAGTTCTACCCGTTAGATATGAATCAAACCAGGCGAGTACCGTTCCTGAAACTCCAAATTTACCAGAAGCTTGTGATTAACGCAGTCAAAAGCGGAAGACATGTCGAGAAAGGAGAGTAATGATATCATCCGATCATCCATGACTACAAACATGTTTGACAATACATGAAGCAATGCAGTTTCAGTTGTTCGTCGTTAGATAATTCATCAGGAAATCAAGAACATCACGCTCCAAAACCTTTGAAACAAAGGAAAGGTTTGATATTGGTCTGTAATTACTCACCTCATTTGCATCTGAGTTAGTTTTTTCAAAATCGGTTGAATTATCGCGTGCTCACAAGTAGAAAGAAATTTACCAAAGCTTAAACAAAGGTTTACAAAACTCGTCAGAGAACAGACAAATGAGTCCAAGTATCTTTTAAGGATATGCGTAGGGATTATGTCCAAACTGCACGTTTTCGTTGGTGATTTAAGTACCGTTTCCCTCAACTGACTTTCAGTAACCAACGGAAAGCATAAAAACGTACATTTATCCAACATCGAGACTACTTGAAGCGGAAATTCAGAATGTACATTTGTTGTTTCTGTTATCCTAGCAATTTTATCATAAAAAAATTGTAAAATCTGATCAGCGTTTAGAGCGTTGTCATCATTAAATGAATTGTTTGCCGAACGTTTTCCTAACATTTTATTGGAAACATACCAAAGATTTTTTTGGTTTCTGTTACTACTTACGATATTGTTCCAATAATGCTTATAAGTTATTGTTAGTAAGTATATCGTAAGTTATTGGCAATAATGCCAATAACTTACGATATAATTCCAACTCTTTTCTGTTGTCAGAAAAGAATCTGTGTTTAGCCATCAATGAGAGTGCCCATCTTTTTTTCCGCCCACTTTCCGGACGGTTCCTATAAATTCTTTCCATCTTCCTACAGAATCGCTTTGCACGTCTACACTCACCGTCAAACGAAGGTGCAGCATTTGTCTGCCTACGATAAATCACCCGCATAGGCACTAAATTGTCAGAAATTCGTTCAATTTCACCACTAAACACAGCAAATTCATAATCCACATCGTCAGATTGACATTTGTTTGCCACAGGAGAGTTCGCTAGTGCTTCAACAAAACATTTTTCGTTCAGATCTTTCCACGGTCCGATACATGCCTTCACCAATTTTGGTCGGACTTTATTCAACGCCACTCTCACACCTACGTAACTGTGATCTGAGTATATCGAACACGGGTCAATCTTAGTATCAAGAATTGGAAAATCATGTGAACAAATTACTAGGTCTAACGTACCTCCCGACACATGCGTTTTTTGATTAACATGATTGACCAACTGGAACGTATCAAGTATCTCATGTAGTCGTAGAGTGAAAGAACTATCCCTCTTTTCAACGTGAATGTTAAAATCACCCATAAGTACGACATGAGCCTCCGACATTGTAATAAACTCTAACATAGAAATCAACTCTTCAAAGAATAATGAAGTCGTCTGTTCCGAGCCGTGTCTGTAGAAGGCAATTAAACAGAACTGAACAATTCCAATCTTCAATCTGATGGCCAAAGCTATACATACACACACACACACACACACACACACACACGCACACACACACACACACACACATATATATATTTAGGAACGAGGTTTTCATTTATACAAATTTCGTTGAATATGTTTGCCCATTTTGCATTTGTTAATTTCTTTGAAATTGAATCAACATGATGTAATTGTTGCAATTCTTATTTATTAAAAACTTGTGTCATGTCGTGGCTAACAACGTTGTTTCGGCTAGATAGCCATCATCAGAGCCTAAAATTAGTGAATTGTAAAAATTTTCAATAAAACAATGAAAGATAAATTTAAATTTGATAAGTTATATGGTAACATGCTATTGTGAAATATTAGATATAATTATAAATGAATAAAATAGTGTCACCTTGTAGGAATATGTAAAACAGTAAATAAATGTTCGGAAATAATCTTAATTTATGCTGCTATTATTAAAAATTAAAATAAAATATAAATTTATATATATATATATATAAATTATTATTATATATATATATATATTATATATATATATATTATATATATATAATAAAATATATAAAATTTAAATAACAATGTCAGCGGATGTACGAAATAAACATACTACGTGGTAATTGCAAGATATTATAAAAACCGTGTTATGGACTACCGTTTAAATTGAAAAATTAAAATCAAAATTGGATATAAATTAAATATAAAGAAATAATATGATAATTATACAAAATGTATGTTATTAACATATAAAACAAAGTATAATAGAAGATGATCATGTCATGATAAATAAATGATAAATTATGTAAAACAGTAATTACGTTAGTCTTGAAATAAGGAAATTAGGGAAGTCGAAACAGTGGGTTTATGACGTAAAGTCAAACAGTGTATATTAGTTGATAAGATGTTGTCAGACGCTGAACGATACTTGTATCGTGTTCGTACCTGTAGGAGCGGCTGTTCTCCAGCAACATTGGCAGGCTGTGTCTGATCTCGGTATTGTGAAAATAGTTGAAGAATGTTGTCAAGTATTGTTGTATTGGCATCCAAGATGGTCCTTGTGATAAGCATCTTGTGTACGGTAGTCATATGGTTCTTTATCGCACCATCTTGTACATGCATGGTGAGCCTACGGGGGAGAGTAGTGCGTGTGTGACCGATATAACTTTCCACAATTTTGTGTGGCGTAAGACACGTAAAACGATACACAAGGCTTGTCCTTTCTAACGTAGGTGTTGGTGAATTATTGCTGTTTTTCATGACGAGGTTCGAGTTACGATTAGTGTTATAATATATAATGAATTTTAAATAGTTGTTTTTATTGCAGACAGAAATGTTAGCTTTTATAATTCGTTTAAGCTGTGATTCATCCACTTTGTGGTTGTCGTGCATTTGGTTTAGGTAGTATAATGGTATTGATGTTTTGGTTGCTACTGTTGGAAGATTTGGATTACTTGTATTATTGAGTTTGCGAACATATATCATCAACAATTTTATTAGAATAATTGTTATTGATTAGAAATTGTTTGATACGAACTAGTTCACTTTGAAATATTTTATTGTCAGAAGAAATTTTATGTGCACGGTGGATGAAATTGTATACGACATTGTTTTTATTACGGTCAGGACAGTCTGATTTGTAGTTAAATACCTGGCCGGAGTTGCACGGTTTCACGTAAACTTTGGTAGTTAGTTGTTCTTCTTTCTGTTGAATTGAGCAATCGAGGAACGAAAGTTTCTCATCCGTGCTGAATTCTGTTGTAAATTTCAGATGGGAGTTATTTTGGAATATATTCTGCAGATTATATATGTCGGTGACGGAGGAACAAAGGATGAATATATCGTCCACGTAGCGAGCATATGTTGGTGGTTTATTTGTAGGATCAGCAAATATTTTAGCCTCTAGTTCTGACATGTAGAATTCAGCAAACAAATGACCCAATGGGGAGCCCATGACGACACCTTCAATTTGACTGTATAACGATCCATCTGGAGCAACAAATGGGCTTTCAACCGTGCAGGTCTTTAGTAGCTCGATGAGCAGGTCCGGAGGAATATCTAGTTGTGGAAGCGTAGGATGATTATATATACGTCTACAGAACAGATGATATCAATTGTATATGATATATATGATAAGATGATATATATATATATATATATATATATATATATATATATGTGTGTGTGTGTGTGTTGGTAATAGACCATAATTTTTACAATATTCTATAAATTGAAGAATAAGAACTGCTTCTGCAATTTTAAGATGCGTGTATAGTTGCTGTTCTGGTATATTACTTTGGTGTTACTGTTGCAGAAGCAGTCCTAATTGACATCAATAAACCAAAAATAAATATACAACAAAAAATGACAATCTCACTTTCAACCCGGCGCTTAACCAACAACGAAAACAAAGAAGTAATAAAAACTAGCATTGTAAATAGTGACAAAGAAGAATATGATGCTATCGATGAAGAAAAGGAGACCAAAGAAGATAAATAAAAAAAAACAATAAAGAAACCTGACACCTAATTTCCATCTAAGTTTATTTTGACAAAATCAATCTCCATCTAAGTTCATTTTAACAAAGTCAATATTTCCATATATAAACAGCAGAAAGCACTGATAATGATTCATTCAGAATCGAAATATGGCCTTATTTGCAGCATGAATTCGGAAAATAAGTTTATTTTGAATTTTAATAAACTAAACGTTCACCAAAAAACTTTAGTGAGAAAAATTGAAAAAACGAACTACAAACATATTAACGCCAAACATTCGGTAGAATTTATAGAATATTGTATATATATATATATATATATTTTGTTAAATTTATTTGCCCATGTTGCATTTATCAACTTTTTTATTATGGACTCAACACAACGTAGTTTTTGACATTCATATTTATTGTGAAATTGTGACATATTAGAAGCTGACAACGTTGTTTCGGCTAGGTAGCCATCATCTGAGCCTAAAACCAATGAAATATAAGAAATTTAATTAAAATAAATGAGAATTAAACGAATTATGTAAATTATTTGGCGGACATGACAGATAAGATATTAAAAATAAAATTGGAATTGAAAGTGAAGTTAAAATGGTACCTTGCGAAGGATGTAACCTAAAAGATGTAACCTAAAAGTATCCAAAAATCTGGGTGTAATTTATCGTTTGAGATCTAGATTTCCTATCTTTACTTTAATGTCTTTATATAATTCTCTCATTTTGCCTTACTTAACTTATTGCATTCCCGTCTGGGTTTGTAGTTCGAAGTCCAATCTTCATATGTTAACTCTTAATCAAAATTTTTTCTTGCGTATTTTGTTTAAATTAAATAGAATTGATCACATTAGCCATTATTATAATATGGCAAATATTTTAAATGTAAGTCAATTACACACTGTTTATTCTTTAATTTTTTTAAAATTATATAAACTTAATTTTTGTCCGTTACTTCATAAGCAAATTATCATATTTAAAAACGATAATACTCGATCCTTGAGATATAATTCTGATTTTTATTTTTCTAAACCCAGGTCAAATTTTTATATAAATTCAGTACTTTCTTTATCAATGCATCTTTGGGATTTACTACCAATATATGCTAAGAATTCATTGACTCTATGTTCTTATAAAACTATAATTAACAAATTGGTTCGTTCAAATTACTTTTCTTGATTAATTTTTAATATAGCAACTCGACCATTTAGTTTTATTGTCTTAATTTTCATATTACTCGAAAATGTTTTATTATTATTATTAGTGTATAGTTAAAAGAATTCCTTTCCCATCATCTATTATTTTTATATTTTGTTTATAATAGAATTAGTTTCATGTTTATGTTTATTACTATCCATAATCCTTTTCTATTGTGTATAGGTGGCCCTACAAGTTGATACTTCGGGTCTCCTAGCGAAAAACTGTTGTTATTTTGCTGAATAAAACTATTTTTGAATTGAATTGAATATAAATTATATAAACATTAAAAATAATGCAATGTTTGAAACAAACAATTAGATTAAATTTTGTATTAATTTCATTTTGTCGTTAATAATACATCTTTTTAATTATTAAAAAGGTATCTGAATATTAATTATCTAACAAATTATCTACAAATAAATTTTCCTATTATTATTAAAAAAACAGAATCTGTGTGTGCAAGTGTTTGCCTGCGTGCGTGCGTTTGTGTGTGTTTTATGATTTTTTTTGGTGCATCGCCTTTAAATCATGTTACAGGATTTAATGCTTGTAATATGGATGTAATTTTTGAATGGTATTTTTGGTAACTTAACTAACATGCTTTTATGAAAAAATAATATTAAATTCATATCTTGTAAGAAAGGTCAACTGTTTCATCTTATTTTTTTCAGTTACAGCAAAAATCAGGATTTTAAAAGATTATCATTTAAGAATAATAAACTCAGTTTACCCTATACCGAGCGGCTTTGACATTGCTAACAATCTTAGATATTTTTCTCAAACACTTATTGGGTTAGTGATGGCATTATGAATTGTCACCTTTTGCTAATATTCATTATTTTTAAAATTTTATTTAAAAGTGGTCGCGGTTATTAATTTTGGTTTTTTGATGTTCTCTGATTTGGTATAGTGATTTTTAAACAAAATACTAAATAATGGGTGTAATCTTGTGATGCTTAAATTGCAAATGAGTCTTGTTAACAGCTGAGTTGATCATTTAGCTTTTATTCAGCTATATTCCAGACTTGCTGCATGACAGGATCAGCCCATGTTACTTTTTATGTTATTTTCTCTACAGCATTAACTCTCCATTTTTTGAATCTAAGGTCAACTGTCAAGTTCTCACAAACTTTCATATTCTTTCTTTTTTTGATCTGAATTAAGCCATTAATCAAACTTTATGTATCAATCTTGTTATATGCTGCATGTAAGCACAACAAACAACCTAATTAAATTGTTCACGAAGAATGAAAAAAATCTATGTATTATTTACAATTACATAGATGTCTATTTTTATCACCAACATCACAACCTTGTATATTCTGGACTAGAATTTAATTTTCATCTAATCTTGGTTTATTATGTGTTTCCTGGGTTCATAAGTTTGTTGTTCTTTTTGTGAACACTGATAATAAATATGCAACAATAATTTTATTTGACAGAAATATAAATAGTTTTAAGTATAAGGTTGTTGATGCAATAATAAATGATATAATAAATACAATTAAGTAATAAGTACAAACTTACCAACCTGTTGAGCTGCTAATATATTAGACAAATTAAAAAACTCTGAATTTAAAAACGAAAAAAAAATTAAGTAATAAATAGCAGCCTAATTTGACAGATGGAAAAGTGTTATCGAAAAGAAAGGGTTAAAAGTTAATATTGGTAAGACGAAGGCAATGGTGAGTGGGGAAGGTGGGGAGCGAGTGATAAGTAAAATAGACTCCTGCGGGGTATGTGACAGGAGAGTGAAGGCTAACTCGGTATTGTGTATAGGATGTCAGAAGTGGGTGCATAAGAGATGTAGTAGTGTGAGGGGGGCACTGAAAAAGGTGGAAGGTACGTTCAAATGTAAGAAATGTGTTCATGGTGTGATTAATAGGACGGACGCAAGGACGTGGTTGAGTGGTGGTATTGAAAGAGTGGAAAGCTTTGTTTATTTAGGGGTTAAGCTGAACGCGGATGGAGGATGTTTGAGCGCTGTTACGGCTAGAGTTCGTGTGGGATGGATGAAATTTTGGGAACTTGGTGGAGTATTGTGTGGAAAGAAATGGTCAGTGAAGATGAAAGGGAGGGTATATAAAGCATGTGTGAGAGCAGCGATGGTATATGGTGGTGAAACTTGGGTGTTGAGGAGAGAGGAGGGAAGTGTACTGCAGAGGGCTGAAAGAGCTATGGTGAGGATGATGTGTGGGGTTAAAGTGAAGGATAGAAGGAGTAGTATAGAGCTGATGTCGATGATGGGACTGAATGAAGACATTGTGACATTGGTAAGGAGATCGAGATTGCGGTGGTATGGACATGTGTTGAGAAGGGATGAAAGATTCGGGTTTAGGCGAGCGTTGGAGTTTGAGGTTGAAGAAGTGATAGGAAGGGGTCGTCCGCGATTGGAATGGAGAAAGCAGGTGGAGAAGGACATAATGAAAGCGGGGTTGCGTGATACTGAGGCGAGTGACAGATGTGAATGGCGTCGAGGGGTATTTCGGTTTCATCATAGGTAGCCAAACGGCAACCCCCGATCTCGGGGAAAATGTCGTCTAAACGTGTGTTGTTGCTGTAAATAGCAGCCTAATGTCTTCTGCTGTTATGTTTCAACCCACCAATGATAAATCACTGTTAAGTATAGCCCAATCTTCAACAATGATATTTCATTAACCTATTAATAATTTTGAATGAAAAAATTAATTTGTGTTGCTTTCAACACTTCGTGGTTTATAACTTTGTCATTGAGCATGTTTAATTTTTTTTCTTTCATACAGAGTGCTGAAAGATGTGCCGTTGAGTACAAAACATTTATTCATAAGGCGTAAAACAAATAGAGAATGCTTACAAGTGTTTCCTGATCTTGATTATATGCATTTGTATGAAACTGTTGAATGCATTATTAACGATGTGTCAGTTATACTCACAGGTCAACATGGTATGACTTAATTGTCTATTTAAATTGCGTGACAGTATCTTTAACATTTTTATTTGTTTTTTTCATTTAGTTATCATTATAATCAGATTATTTCACTTGTTCTTTGTTCCTTTTGTTTAAAAATGTCAAATGGAAATGTATGTAGCATACTGTCTAAAACGTATTGCATTCTTAGCGAATTTTTTAAAATATTGTGTATTAAATATTAATCCCATGCTCTCTTGCTTTATTAAAAGACTATCCGTAAAATTATTATTACTATTATTATTACTACTATTAGTATTATTACTATTATTATTGTTATTATTATTATTACAATTATTAAGAAGTTATATAACCACAACAGGGAATACACAAAAATTGTTGGCCGGCAAGATGGCTCAGTGGTTCAAATGCTCGCTTAGTCAAACATCTCAATGGCTATTATATTCTCAGCGTATATGATGCGGTGCTTGCGCGTGCACATAAAATACATGTGTACGTCGTGTGAAAAGGATAAACAGCCTTTATGGCGAAGATAGCTGCTTCAAATCAATGGTTGAAGATATGAAGAACATAATAAAAAGATATATAGACAATATATCTGTAACATTATTATTATTATTATGAGAAAAAACATGGGCGAAGACAAAATGTCCCTATACCCGCGACACAAAATTAACTATAAAATTTTAACACATAAACAATAATGTACATGAATATATGTTAATATATTCTGTTCATACATAAAGATCAAACAAAAAAAAATAAATAAATAAACAAAAATATAAGAGAATAACTTCGATTATTAATTCAGCTTTATATATATATACGCAAACATTTCTTCATAAAAATTCCATTTTCAAGCTTAGTCAAACATCTCAATGGCTATTATATTCTCATATATATCGTCCTTTCTTAAAGACATTCATGTCAAAACAAACGTTTATACCATCATCCAAAATCTATAAACAGCATTCACGAGTAGTCATACTTCAACTCCGCTCTCCAATCGTATTTAAATTTAGCATTCATAAGAAAATCATCCAACTTTTTTTTAAACTCATTCAAATCACTGCAATTAACAACATCATCATTCAAATTATTCCAAATATTAATAGTTCTATTAACAAAATAATTTTTTCTTAAGTTCGTATGGAATGTCAATGCTGTTAGCCTCATCTCATGTCCTCTTGTTCGTCTGGTGGCTCTCAATATTTCCGGCAAGCTTCGTTGGTCCTTTTCATTCAACATGTTAAACATCGCTATCAAATAACCTCTTATTCGTCTGTATTTTAGTGTTGGTAGTTGTAAAAATTTTAATCGGTCCTCATATTTCATTTCCTCACAGTCCTTGATCATCTTTGTCGCCCTTTTCTGAACCTTTTCGATCGCTTCTGTTTCACGTATTGTCCATGGTGACCACACACTTGCTGCATACTCCAGCTGAGATCTAACTAAAGATTTATATAATAATATAAAAACATTTTTATCAATATCTTTAAAATTTCTGTTTATTAAACCCAACAATGAAAATGCCTTCTTAACATTTCGATGTATATGCTCAATAAATTTCAAAGATGTATCAAAAATAACACCCAAGTCTTTAATTTTATCAACAAAAAGTAATAGGTGCGAGCTTATGTTATAATCATAATTATTATCTGATACAGAACAACCAAACTTCATCACAACACATTTTTCTTTATTTAATTTAACATCATTCTGCAAACACCACTCATTCAAATCATTCAATCCCCTCTGCAATACCACACTATCTCTATCTGAGTTCATAATTTTAAACAACTTTGCATCATCTGCATAAATATACATCGCAACACCATTTAAATCCTGAAACAAATCAAATAAATCATTAACATACATTAAAAACTAAATTGGCCCAAGCACACTACCCTGTGGGACTCCACTCTTTACTTCACAATATCTTGACATACCATCATTCACTCTCACACGAAATGTTCTTCCATTCAAATAATTATAAACCCAATCAACCAATTTGTCATTCAACCCACATTTATTCAACTTAACCATTAATTTACTATTATCAAATGCCTTTTCCCAATCAGTATATACTGCATTAATCTCATAACCTTTATCAACAGCCCTAGACCATTCATCCATCAATTTTAACAACTGCAGAACAGCTGATTTTTCCTTGACAAACCCAAACTGTTTTGTATTCAGCAAACCACTTTCAATCAAATGTGACATCAAAGCATCCTTTATTATAGACTCCATCAATTTACATGTTATGCATGTCAGTGCAACAGGTCTATAATTTTTAGCTTCCTTTTTATCTCTTTTTTTATAAATGGCTGTAACAATACTTTCTTTCCATACATTAGGTATGACTCCCCATTCAAAAGACCTAATAAATAATGAACTTAAGTAATCATAAATAGATTCTTTACATTCAAACAATATCTTTGCACTAATGTTATCAGGTCCAGACGATTTAAATACATTCATCAATTTCAGTTTATTGAAAACAACCTGTGGTTCAAAATCAATCACATTCATTAAATTAATTGTTTCTTCACACAAAACAGTTTCCTGTGTGCAATCATTATCCCCCTTACTAGTACTATAAACAGTGGTTAAAAAATCAGCCAAAACATTTGCTTTTTCACATTCATTTGTTACAACAATCTTATTTCCATCTTTATCAACCCCATACAAACTATCTATAGAAAACCTATCTTTTCTACTATTATTTACCTGTTTCCAAAATATCTTAGGATTAATTTTAACCAATTTACCCAATTAACCTTTATTAACTTGATGTCTCTTTTAACTTTGTTTTCTCACCTTCTTAAAATCATCAAATATCTTATTATCCCTGTACTTAATGAACTTTTTCCATAATAAATTTTTTTCTCTTATTGAATTTAAAACAAAATTTGGTAGTTTAAGGAAATTATTTTTTTCATTTTCATTTATATACTTTACTGGTACAAATTTTTAATAGCACCTTCAATAACAGAAACAAACCTATCCCAAATCCCATTAATTATTGATTGTTTGCTATTGTCACCAACATTTATCATATCCATTAATGCATGAGATAAATTTGCTTTAATAAATTGATTCATTGCCACATAATTCCCTTTATTGAAATCAAAACGCTTAATTGACTGTTTATTTTTTTTCCATTTTACTAAACATGAGAAGCTTATCCTTATGTGATCACTTTTACCTATTGGAGGATTACATTTAATATCATGAACTATATTTTTTTCCTGAACAAAAAGCAGATCCAATATGTTTTGCTCCTGCTGGTTTCTGAACCTTGTAGGAAAATCAATACATTGATACAAAAAACAGTGATTTATACAATCAATGAATTTCCTCTGAATGGACTTGACACCTCCAGAAGTTGAAACAGAATTCCAGTCTATAGACGGGACATTGAAGTCACTTACAATTAATTTCTTACCTCCTTTGCCTATAAATTTCTTAATCAGACACAATAAACCTTTATTATTATCTGAACTGGATCTGGGATTACGGTAAAGAGCCAGTAGTGATACCTCCTCTTTATATTTCAATATTCGAATAGCAAGATATTCTTCAAAATTCGCTATTAAATCAATTACTATAGATGAAATTGTATATTTAATATAAATAAATATCCCCCTATAACCCTCATCCATAAAAATTTTTGAATACAACCTATAGCCAGTAATTTGAAATTCACTTATATTATAGTTATTATTACGTATATTCAATTGTTCGAAAATGTAAAGCCAAAGCAACGCCTTGTCCTCTGGATCAAGTTTCAACAATTATTCTGAAAAGGTGCCCAATACTCCGCGCATACCTCCATAAATTAATAACCAGTTGTTGAAAAACCGCAACAATCCCAACGTGTTGGCGAAATGGTTTAACAATCTTAATTTATAAAAAAGGAGATCCAAAAGATCCGGTTAACTTTTGCTCCATAACATTACAGTACTGTTTAATCTATGTTTTAACCCTCTAATGAAAATTATAGAAAATGAGGAATTTAAACAGTGCGGTTATCTTTGGGGTCCAACCTATGATGTGAAAGCTAGAGCATGGCTTCAATTCGCCGACGACACGGTAATTATTGCACATAGTTCGGAGAGTTCGAAGAAATTGATCGATCTTAATCTTGCCTGGTGCAAATGGTTGGGCATGCAGATGAGAACAGATAAGTACTGTGTATTTGGAATGAGGAAAAATGATGGCTCATACGATCAGTTCCTATAAAAGTTGACAATAGTCAACATGCCAATTCCAGCGGTAGAAATGGGTCTGGAATTCAAATACTTATGGAGAGTTTATGATTCAGAACTAAAGGACACAAAAGCCAAAGAGGTGGTGATTTCCAAATTAACACGTCTCTTGAGATCTACGACCGAACTAGATGTTTCTACGCTAATGAAACTACAATTTTTGAGAAGATTCATTCTCTCACAATTGAAGTTCGAGCTGCGAAGGTACAGTTTTTTTTGACGTGGATCGCCAACAATTTGGATAACTTTGTTTCGGAAGCAGCAAGAAATTGCTTGTCAATACCCATAAGCGGCTGTGTGTCATAGATGCTGAGTTTACCATCAAAGAGTGGTGGCCACAACATTGTTCCACTGAGGGACACAGCGTTGAGAACAGCGTTAAAGATTTGAGATTTGCGCTCCATGGCGTGAAACATCGGTGGACTACAGGATGATTGACAATTTGCTTTTGGTCTCAAAATCAACTTCTCAGACACTGTAAAAGTTGGAAGAGGACCGAATTGCGGACGGCTTAAAGCACGTCGTCTTGCTTCAAAGTCAGGGCTCTTTGATCAAGTCTGTAACCGAGGTAATACTACCTTCGCGAATAAAACACTGGTCAAAGAAATTAGATTCGATACCAGGTACCCTATACAAATTCGCGAGAAAATATTTGATTCAGCAACTGCCGGCCAACGCAAATCTGTTCAGATAGGGAAAGACCGTTGACCTCTGTGACGTTAAAAAGACGCTTATGTACTCTTATCATATATAACGAGTAATAGGGTTTTATTGTGCATTTAATTATTTGACAATGACTATATTTTATTCTATTTCATATTTTATGTACTGATTTTTTGTAATAAAAGAGTTGTAAATATCAGTAATAGGTCACCGAGTTAGCTCAGTTGGTAGAAATGCCAAGTCGCGATGACGTGGTTTGAATACTCTGTCCGAAAATTAGAGACAATCATACCGTAGCCTATCCTAATAATTAACAAGCCTGCGCGCTGATACAGCGTAACACAATTAGGTGGCGAACATTACAGACTAGATAACAATAAGCCTTATATGTTAATACTCAATTGTCATTGTTTAAGGTGCATTATACTCGCCAATTTCAACCATCTGTCACGGCTACCTTGCCAGGAAAAAATCATTAAAACAGTAGAAAAACATATTCCCGCAAGCCAAGTTACCCGTTTGTCAAAATTCACTGCCAACCTTCCAGAGGTTTTATTTAAACTTTTAAGGACTTCCTACAGATGCAAACCTATCTATATGGGGTAATGTTCTAACGCGTTGTGTAACGCGCTCCAAACAAACAATCATGTTTTGCCAAATTGTGGTTTAGTAGCGACTCTGAAAAGATTCACAAATCGTCATGATAAAATGTCCTTAAATTTGAATGAGATCAGATCGTCTGCTAAGCTGGTGTGACAATGCAACCAGCAGAACCAGCAGAACCAGACGTCTTTAATTATCACACCATCTCGCCGCTATAATATGCATCGATCGCTATAATATGTACTATGTAATGGTCGATTTTCGGCAGCACATATATGCAATTTGTATGAGAAATTTTTAGAAAATATGCTTCAACATTTGAAATTCTGGTTTACCTGTCCCAATTGACATATTAATCATACTTAACACTATTAATTTTTTAATATAATCAACGCTATAAAAAATTAAATCTTAGCTCTTGGTGAATCTTTGCTGTGTGTTCTTGGATGTCTAGCCCCATTCTTATCGTCATCTATTTTGGATACCCTACCGAATTTAGTTGCTTCAACTCTAACTACATTTCCCTCCAGTCTGCATAGAGATATTTTAATGCTGTTATGCAATAATTTGTTGCCTGTTACTATAAGTTCGTATGTGTTTGTTAAAGATTTTTGAATTTAGCTATGTTGATTTTTTTTTTAATTTTTACTTTGTGGTCTTTTAACATTATTATGAATAAATTAAAAATAATTTTAGATTGATTAATATTACAGAGCCGGATTCGGCTTTCAGCCAGCCCTAGACAGAAAAAATGTCATTATAAAAAAATAAATTACTATACACTCTACACAAAAATGAATTATCTATCATTTTATATAGCTACACAGTCCTTTCCACAATGTGAATGATGTTTTCGAACAATTATATATGTTTAAAACAACAAAACTATATTGTAATATACATTTTGTAATAAAAAAAAGATTTCATTTAAACAAACGATTGAACCCAGATGATACAAAATCAATCAATCAATCCTCGTTTATAGTTTCCATCCGTTATGGATCAGACTTTTTTATTCCATTCATCAGCTTCTGTTTCCAAGCCGATCTATCCATTGCGTCTGCGGTACCGCCAGTGATCATAGTTTTTGTTTTGTCAAGGTTTAACTTTAGCCAGTGTTCGGCGAGCTGGGTATCCAGACCTCAAACTTTCTGGCTGCGTCTTGTTTCGAGGCCGCCGTAAGGACGATATCATCTGCATACTCACACTCCATATGTTATCTGAGCATATTCATTTGGTTATTTCTTCCATCACCGTGATGATAAGCAGGGGGCTGAGTATTGATCCCTGAAGGACGCCGACGTTAATGTCAAATTCATTCGTGTTACCCGCTGTTGTGCTGACGTTGCCATAACCAGCCGAACCAGATATTCGGGAACAACCTGTCTACGTAGACTCCACCTGATTGTTTAACGAGGCACTCTGTCAAATGCCTTTTCCAAGTCCACAAAAACCTGGAACAGTTGCTTTTGCTTGCCAAGTATATTTTCTGCAGTTGATAAATGATATAGATAGCATCAATGGTGGATCTCCCTGCCATGAAACCGAACTGGTAACCACCTATTCAAACGCACGACAACAATCTTCTCTCAATAACTTTTTTAATAACTTTTAGGGGTGTTCCAGAAGACGTATACTCCGATATGAGGAGCATTTCAGTGGGTCTCCTTTTCCTTTATATATCGGCACAGTTGTGCTACTGTTCCATTCCACTGTTAGTATCGATTTACTCTACATCTCTCGACAGATGTGTAAGAGGGCTCGAAAGCCTGTTCTACCAGATGCCTTGCTGATATCATTTGTAAGTCCAGACGGACCAGCCGCTTTACCCCCTTCATTGCCTTCAGCGCATCCTTAAGCTCCTCAACTGTGATGCCATAAATCCACTTGGAGTGCATCAACGCCACCCCAATTGGGTTTGTTTCATTCAATAACTGATCGAAGTAATCTTTTCAGTGATCCTTCACTTCATTCTGCATGCAAAGTTATTATGGTGCCTTTATTTTTCTTTATGCATGTGGCACCAACTATATCCTTTTTTAGTCTTTTGGCCTGATTTGCTATTTGGTAGAGTTACCGAATTTGTTCGTTTTTACTTCCAGTCAGCCATAACTTGCATTGATTTGCAAGAACTATCGCAACCTGACATTTCGCTTCTGTGTTCTTTGATCGGTATGTCTTTCTATCTTCACCAGTGTTCGTCTTCTGCCATTGTTTGAAAGCTGCTTTCTTACTGGCAATAACATTTTGCACCGTCTCGTTCCACCACCAAGTTTTGCGTTTGTGCTGGCGTTTTGGTCCAGATTTTCCACATACAGCTGTTGTAGCGATCACTAGGGTGTCCTGAAAAGATTTCCATGTTATGTCTACCTTCTCCAGACGATCCAGCTGTGCCGATACCAACTCCTCGAATTTCTCCCTGAACATGGGGTTTTTCAGTTACTCCTTACATCCCAGATGATGCAAAATAGCATTACAAATATCGAGGTCGCCATGTCTTGGTTTTACTCCACTGCCTGGTTTTCTGCCAAAATATTTTTCGTTTTCTTGATAATAATATATTTATTATTATTGTTGTGCTATATTGCAAAAACATTTTATTTTTCTTTATTTTACTAGTCGACCCGGCGTCCGTACCACCCGAAAAAATGATTCTCAACTAAGTATCAAGATTCTTAATTTTTCAAACTGAATGTTAATAATATACACAGTAGATTGTCGTCCTAATCAATAAACTAAATTTTGTTTTTAATATTATGTTTTTTTCATTTCAAATAAAAAATTATCCGAGTTCCGTTAATCAAAAACGTTTCTTAAGAACTGGTAAGGCCAGAAAATTCAAGAGATATAAATCACTTATAATAACTAGGGCCTATAATAACTAGGCGAATATCCGTCCATTTTTACTATCCGGTCATATTCGACTCCGCGGCTTCGGCTGGATATCACTGCCGGATAGTAAAATATACATTGTCTACATTTATTTTTAACTTCTATAAAGTAGACAAGTAGACATGCGTTAATTAATGTTTGTTACAGTTGGCCTGAATAGTTCAGTTTATATATATATATATATATATATATATATATATATATATATATCAATATATATATATATATATATCTGACAGAAGCATAAATTGTTACAGCAATAGTTGATGAAAATGATCTCTGTATCGGCATGACAAATAATATATATATATATATATATATATATATATATATTCATATACATGCGATCATTAACACACAAAGACAAACTAATGATGGGTTTGGTCGGCTTGGTCATTATCAACGTTATCAATGCATATGCAAAATAACGATTTGCGTGCAGCTGCTATAGCTTGATGCTTGTTTTCATAGACATCTTGATATATATTGACATAGATCTTCATCACAAGACACCTTAAATATATTAGCACTCAATAAAACTTTATCATTTACTAAATCTAGTTTTCTTTTTATTTATCGATCACGTCACTAACTCACTAAGTCATTAGCTATTCCATTAATAAATTACTTTATTTATTTGCCTTTTTATACCATTACTTTATTTGCATCTGGTACTGCAGGTATCCAAACGTTACTACAACTTTGCCGTGAAATCTGGAGAAATTGCTCAATGCCGACTGAATGGAACTATAGCATGACAATCCCGCTATACAAAGGCAAAGGTGATCCATTGAACTGTTCATCATATCGGGGTATACGTCTGTTAGAACACTCCCTAAAAATTGTCGAAAAAATCATTGAGAGAAGATTAACGTCGTGCATCACAATCGGAAATTATCAATTTGGTTTTCTAGCGGGAAAATCAACAATTGATACAATTCACATCCGTTGGAGTTCACCAAGGCTCGATTCTCAGTCCACTGTTATTTATAACTGTGATGGAAGAAATCACAAAACCGATACGCACTGGTGACATTTGGAATCTAGTATATGCTGATGATATCGTTTTAACAGCCACGTCTGAGCAGAATGCAGCACAGATGTTTGAAGATTGGAACACCAGACTCGCCGATCATGGATTCAAAGTCAACATCAGCAAAACCAAAGCAATGAACACTGGTGAACCCACCCAATCCACAGCTACTGGACGATGGTCCTGTTCAGTTTGTAAAGCTGGTGTAGGTAACAATTCAATCAAGTGTCGGCAGTGTAACCAGTGGCGTCACAAACGTTGTTCTAAAGTAATTGGTACTTTATCTAAAGTGTCCAATTTTGTTTGTCCTGCTTGCATCAATCCACAACAACAAATTCGAAATAGCACTGTTTTTGAAGCCATTAAGGTAGAGAAAGTCACATCGTTTCAATATTTAGGGGATGTTCTGGAAGGCACTGGAACAGATGAAGCAGCCTGAAATAAATGGCATCTCCTTGCCTCTATATTGATGCGGCGTGACATCCCACTATCACTACGATCAAGACTTTATAAATCTGTGATACGTCCGGTGTTGTTATATGGTGCAGAAACATGGCCAGTGACAACCAAACTGGAACAACAACTTCAACGAACCGACATGAATATGCTCCGATGGATGCAACGAATTAGTCTGAAGGATCACATCAAATCCACCGAAATCCTGCGTCGTGCTGGTTTAGATGATATAAAGGACGAATGCCGGCAACACCGTCTGCGGTGGTTTGGTCATGTCAAACGAAGTAGAAACAGTGCCATAACCTCTCTTGCAGATGTTGAAGTACTTGGCACACGTCCCAAAGGCCGTCCAAAGAAGTCCTGGTCGCAAACAATCGAGCAAGACATGAAAGCTCTAAATTTAAATGAAATGGATACAACTGATCGTCTAATTTTGCGCAAAAAGTTGATGGCAAAGAAAACAACGTCCTACCTCGGGGAACCGGTTCTCTGGACGCAAAACGAAGATTGATTGATTGATTGACTTTATTTTATTTTCATTACTTTATATGTTTATACATTTTTTTCTCCGTTCTTTATTTATTTATTCATTTATATTTTCTACCATTTTCTTCTATTGGCTTGTATGCTGTAACAACGTCCTACCTCGGGAAACCGGGTCTCTGGGCGCAAAACGAAGATTGATTGATTGTATGCTGTAACAATTTATGCGTCTGTCAGATCCTGATTTTTTAAAGAATAATAAAAAGAAGGCTAGTTGATGAAAATGATCTGTATATCGGCTTGACGTTTTCCACTTCTTTCACGTGCTTTACGATTTCTATTCGCCAACCAATTAGTTTAACATGTGGCTTCCCTTTGTTCATGTGTTTGTTGAAGTTGGGACATTCTAACTCGATTCTCTTCTCTTGCGATTTCTTTTTTCTCTGCGCCACCGACGGCATTGTAATTATCCACGAAGTTAAATAAAATAATTAGATAAATGAAAATGACGACAATTTAGCGAAATTAATGATATAAAATAAAAACTGCTCCACTTCTTTTTTTTATAAACAACTATTATTTCTAACCAAGATATAATAATTAATATACAATTAATATACTAATTATTAAGTATCTAAACATTTAAATTATTTTAATTTGTTAAATACAAAAAATAAAATTTAATTTTCAAGGTAATTTGATGGGCCAAAATTGCACTTATGCTACTGACTCAGTTCCATCGGTACTTATGATAGTTTTTCAATTTTCTCATTCTAAAGGTATAATATAGCTTTTCACTTTGGTCATATTATTAAAGATATTTTATAATGTATAACAGTTTTTACTGATTCTCAAAGTTAAGCTGTTACAATAATTTTATACAGTAATCATGGGTTCCCATATTACAGCATTTTAATGATGAAAATACTTTGATTATTAACGATATAAAATTTAAACAAACCAAGTCATACATAGTTAACTGTTTTATTTATTAAAAAAAATATCAATAAGCTTGGAGAAAAAATCATATAAAGCAACTTTGTTGAATTCATATTTTAAGGAACGCCAGCGTTGCTCCAGTCAGCTCAATGATTTTATGTAGGTCAGATATTGAATGCAATTTGCTAGATCTTCTTAGTCATGTGTGCATAGCATTTAAATGGCTTAATTTGTTTCGTCAGAACAAAATAGTTTGTCTTCACCACTTTTTGGATTGCGCTGTGACATCACAATATTTATGGTAAACTACGTCTTCAGCTATCTGATCATTATATAACATTTCTTTTTACACGTTTGCCTTAATCAGTTTTTACATCAAAGCTTCTTTAACAATTGCTACATGTTATTTCAACATGGCGATACTATTTCTGGTTCTGATTTGCCAACTTTCATTTCTAAATGAAACTGCTGCTAGCCGTACCAAACTGCACCAACATCAGGGCAAAAAATTTGTTTTTGTAATTTATTTTTAAAATGTTTGTTTTAGACTGTTTATCTTAAAATTTACAAATTTTAAAATTATTCCATTCGACAGAATATCACTCAATGATTGTAGAATGTCTTATGGCTTTAAAAAAGGATGTTTACAAAGTATAGTTTTATATTAACATTTTAATTATTTTACAATTTATTTGAATAATATTTATAAATGGTTATCGGCTGCTGATGGCTGAGACGAAATCTCGTAATCCAGTTCGTTCAGTTTTTAACGGTAGTTGTTCAGCGTGTAGTCCGGCGTCGTAGTGAAGGAATGACATGGCGTACATACTTACATAGTTGATTTAATTTTTGGTACATATCCTCATTTTATTCACTGTTCATCTCCTCGATTGATCATTTAACTAGATTTTAAGAAGCAACAGTGTGTAAACCATAAGACAGTCACTTATTTGATACAATTTAAACTGGAATGTGTTTTTTGTTCGAAAAATTAAACAACTTTAAACCGACTTTGTTTTCTCGCCAGCATAACACTATCAATTTTTGAATACTAAACTGATATAGCTGCACAAATGCATTATTTAGTAAGTTGAATAAATTTTGTGTTAACCTAGTTTAAATATTGACCAGTTTAATTAATAATGCACATAAAAAAACGGTCTAAGAGATTTAATTCAAAAATGTTATAGTATGGTTGTTGTTTCCAGAGGCTATTTTACCGCCAAACCATTCTGATTGGTGTCAAAGCAAACATATTTACAGTCATACCAAAAGCTTAGCCCAAAAGATGTGCAATAAGCTTACAAGGTCGCCATTCTTTTGTGAATGTTATTTTGGAAAAGTTCAAAACCATGGTAGTATTAAAAGAAAACTGATCGGAAAATCTATGTTAATTTTAATTTATTAAAATTAGCCTAAAGTTAGTTGTGTCAAATAATAACGAGACCTGTATTTTTAATGTTTAGAACTGAATTTTTGTATTGTTAAAAAGTTTTTGTACTATTTAATTTAGGATCTGTTATATGTCATTGCGTATGGCGCAAGCCAATCTCGAGAAGTAGCAAGTCATTTGTTGTTTTATTATTGGCCACAATTAAATCCAATGTGCTTTGATTTTTCTGGAATACACGGCACATATCATGGTAGCTTTTTAAAATATTTTTCGTTTTTTCATTGTTTGGGTCTATTAAAGTTTTGTGAAATAGGTTTATGACAAAATTAACAATCAAAAAAAAGAAGTTTGATAATTACAACATATACTGCAATTTTGATACATTTTATCCTATTTTTTTGATAGATTATTTTTTCGAAATAAATTTTTACATCACTTTCTCGAACCAACTTTCATGATCATTGATTTTGTTTTTAATTGCAATACTTCCAAAGAATATGTTATTTCAGTTTATTTTTCAGATGCTGTTTTTAATCCCTTTTTGGTACTTGTTTGAATCTGTAACAAGTCTTTAATATATTCTGTTCATTTATCTTGCATTTATTGAATACCAAAGCAAACTACCTACCGGTTGAAAACGATTGTAAATCAGAACTGACTTATTTATTCTGCACGTTTATTCTCTTTTTTTGTGAACGTATCCGTTTTAGTCGTTAAAAATCTTCGATGTTATTGTATTTTTTGTGTCTTACCATATCTTTCGTTTTGCTTTGCTCGATTATGCTTCTAATCGGGCATAAATTCTTCCATTTACAGGATTGAATTATATACCTCTCTTTTTCATTCTTTTTTCACTCTACAGACATCCGCTTAAATCGCATCTAACTATCATGTTTTTATTTTCTAATTCATTTTCCTGTACATTAAATATCTCACAAACCAATTACTTAATATCTGAATCTGAAATTTTTTAATAATTTTTTAATAATGTACTTTTCTGTAAATGAATCAAAGTTAAATGTTTTTACGGTTATCAAAAAATTTGTAACTTTGTAACTACAATTTACTAATACGGAAATTTAATTGACTCTCTTAATATTTTTTCTATATATTATAGCTGGAAATATTTGGAAATAATTCTTTAAAATGTAATTTAATTACAGGTTTCGAATTTACAGGTTAGTCCTAAATTTGGTTTTTTCGCATAAAAATAATTTTTATCGAAAATTTTTATTTAATCGTAAAGTTAAGCTAATTGCATTTACTTGGTTTACTAATATTTTGAGTATATTTCGTTGTTGAATTAAATGTTATACCAATGCAAAATTAGAGCCTAATATGGCAGATGATACATTTTTATTTAATTTTATTCAAGTGATTTTACAGTTTTGTTATTTTACAAGATATTGTTGTAACCCTTGACTTTGTAACTAAAAACACCGATAGTCCAACGATCGTCAAAAGTTCGTTTATTTGAAGGTTCAAGATTTCCAATGGATGAACACAACTACTTCAAACGCAAACTTTGTTGAACGTTCGTTTGAATACAAACAGTAAAAACTACATAAGTCACGTTTACTTTTCGCTTGTAACCTCAACTAACTAAGCCTCGTTCGTGGGTCATATTTCTATCCAATTTTACAACCATAGATTCAATATTTCTTTACACTCTTATGGTTTACAACCCAAAAATTACAAATATAACAATAATTGAATAATAAATAATATAGCGCAATTTGACCATTCTCGCGGTTATAACATGACCCCCACCTTAGCCTGTTAGTCCCTAACTTCTTTATTCCGATGAATAGGGGGCTAACCTGTCCAAATGAACTATCTTCATCTTTGCCCGCTGTCTCTCATGTTTTTGGATCTTGTAAACCACGTCGTTTATTCTGTTAATGACCTTGTAAAGATTTTCCCAACTTCTTTTTTTGCCGGAGAGCCAGACCAGGTTGTTTTCGTTAAACCCGGAGCTACTGCCCTTGATGTTGTACCAAGTTTTAGTCTTTTCCTTGCTTTATCCCGTTCTGATTCGTACGTTTCGGTGAATATTGCGCAATCTTTGGCGTATTTTGTTACCGGTTAGGGAGTTTCCGGCGGAACACCGTGTTTTATGTCCGCTGGGTTTTTTTAGCGTAGTTCCGTAAAGGACCTTGGATAGAGTTTCTGCAGTGGTGGCGTGGGTGTCACTCCGATATGCCATTACGAACAGGGGTATTTGTCTTGTTAGTTTTCTTTGACAATCTTGGTCTGGTGCCTGATGATGGTTTGGTTGAAGCGCTCCACGTTTGTTGGGCCTTTTTGTGGCTGGTAGTAATAATTGCATTTTTTCTTTTAGTAGGCGGTAGCTTATTTTTAGGCCGGTTATCTAAATTTATTTATTTAATGTAAGTTAACATTATTGACAAATTTCCCAACACGTGTTAATGTTGAAGTTGTACTGAATAATGTATCCCAGTTAATTCGCCTCATACTAGTATTGGCGAATTGTAGGAAAACATATTATTGTTAAGTTCTATATCTGGTGAGTTACTAGTAGCACACTTGACTTGAAAAGTAAGGCAATTCTGGTCACCAGAAGCGAAAGAACAAGAAACTTCTATATCGCCTAGTAAGCTGGCATCGTCAGATGGAACAAAATATAAAATATTTTTTCTTCGAGTTGGTCGATCGACTAGTTGAATTCATTAAAAAGGTATTTATTATAAATAGAATTATTTATAGAATAATTACCCATTTAATTTGTGGAAGGTTGGGCAATTAGCAACTATTAGCCTAACAAGCAATTTACATCGCCCGTACTAATCTTGCGCTATCGATATATCTTGCGCTATAGAATAAATATTTTTTTGCTAAGGTGTCAAAACCACCACTATGGTAGGAGATAAAGCGGTAAATTTTGCTGGAACTAGAAACGTCAATATCTATATATGCGAACACTCAGGCTGTACTAAAACGATCTTGTATGAAACATTGTTTTTGATGATGAAAACCACACCGCCACCAAATGATTCACGGTTCTTACGAACAAAACAAAAACCAGGAGGTAGAAATAAATTATCAGGATCATTTGAGGGGGAGAGCCATGTTTAGATAATAGAAAATAGAAATAAGGTCGAAATAAATTATCAGGATCACTTGGGGTAGAGAGCCATGTTTTGATAATAGAAAATAATTCTCGCTCATAAACCAAAAAAAATAAACTGAGGTCGTTTTGTTTTTTCTGAGTACTACGCTAAAGTCATTACGAATGTGTCTATTATTATCTGTCTAATGAAAAATGTTTGTTCAGCCTACCTCTTCGAAAGGTTAGGGTTGATGAAAATGTTTTGACTGGAGTACCTCAAGGTTAGGTATTAAGACCCATTCTGTTCTTACTGTACTAACCGAATATAGGTAAGATAATTAATTCACATGGATTCATCTACTATGCGTTTGCTGAGGGCTTCAAGTGGTTGTTATTGGATGGCCGTGAGTTTTTTCGAGTGAGATTGATAGATTTGTCAAATGTATGACCGATATTGAACGCTGGATGTCCAGTAATTCATTTACGTTGAATCAATGCAAAGCCCTGGTACTTGGTGACAACTGTTAAACCTAGATCTGTCAAAATAAACAACAATATTCAAAAGATCCGCTGCCAATTTGTGAGTTTTGGTAGATTCTAATCTTACTATGATAGAACAGAAAAAGAACGTTTCGATTTCCAGTATGGCTCATTTTAGGGGCTTGTACAGAGTCAGATGTTACTTAGGGCTAGCATGTTAACATTAGTAAACGCTCTCATAACATCCCGTCTGGACTACTCTAATAGTTTATTTACAAACTGCTTTAGACGTCAATAGCAGTTCTAAATCAATCCGGAATCGTGCGGCTAAACTTGTGGCAGGCGAAGGTTTTTTGAATGAACTCAGCTGCTGATGATTTGTACACTGTCACAAAAATTCTGAAACTTCTAATACTGCGGGTTTTCAGAGTTTGAAGCTTAACGTTGAGATAGTTTTTACAGAGAGATAAAACTATATCCTTGTCACCATCCCCGACTGAAGTTCAAGACCAGAAATTATGACATTTTTTGACCGACGTTCTTTATCTTTTTTTTCTTGCTCCACTGACAATAGGGTTGTGGTCACCGTTTCCAGCATATAAATTTTATTGATTTTGAAGATGATGTTGACATTCGAAAACGCTAGTGCCCAGTTTTGACATAATTGTGTAAAATTGTTTCTTACAGCACCCTCAAAACTATTGCCATTCATATTACAGTAGTTTAAAATAGTTTGCTTATTAAACTTTCCGAATGAACCAGCATTTTGCGTAGGTTCTCGTTGGACTTCTCTATCATTTTAATCGTTTTGATCCGATGTTGCAAACAATCAATTTTTACATTTTTGTTTGATTTCTCTTACTTTGTCAATACATTTTAACTAATTATTGTTAGATTTGTATGGAATTTTTATGACCATAATTTCGATGTTTTTTGCCGAAGCGTTTTTTGTCATGCCGAAGACAGTTGATTGGAATGAAAACTTTTGAGAAACAAAGAAACCACTAATTAAATTAAGACAAAAATAATTTTTTTAAAGAACTTTAGCTAAATTAAATACGAATTCATAATTATTAATCGGAGATTTAAGAAATCAACACGACGTACAGGAAGTTAAAAGCGAATCCGACTTTTTTGACATTCGGCAATAAAATGTATTTGCTTGTATGTTATTAGGAAAGCCTAAAAGCGATTTGTAATGTGTGACTGAAAGTAACGGAATATATTGAAAATTTTAATTTGTGAAAAAATTGAATTGCGAACCCTAGATATTTATGTATGTTATTACCTTCTTAAAAGCGATTTATATTGTGTGACTGATGAGAATGTGTAGGCAGCGTTATTGAAATATACTGATAGCTAATTTTGGTAGCTTATTGTGATTTTGTATTTTATTTTAGCAAGAAGCACTATACTGTGTCAAAGAAATAAATGCATAAATAACAGATGTGTTGCAGCTGTGAAAGTACGGAATTATATTATTTTATTGTTTTAAATCATCTTCATAAATAATAAATCTTAACAGCGCAGAATGGACAAAAACCTTTTATGAAATCTGTATCGCTGAAAGTTATATATTTAGCTATATTTATATTATTTTATTATTATCTATATTATTTTCTTTTATTTATCTTTTTCATAAATTACTCGTTTAATAAACCGCTGAGAAAAGCTGGTGAATGTTTAGAATAAAGTTTGAGGAGGATGGTGGCAATTTTGAAAAGAATGCAAAAATGAAGAGAAAGATAATGGAGTTTAGTGAAGTTGATAC